TGAAATATATCTAAAGATGTTTGCTTCCCAACTAACACTACCTGAGCTGATTCTCTTGATGTTTTTGGAGTTGGAGAACAGACCAGTGAAAAGATGGTTCTTTTTGTATATACACTGACTGACCTTATTTCATTAGTTATAATTGATAATTGATATATACTGCTGACAATCTGAACTTTGAGGAATCGCATGCAAATTGTTATTTTAGGGATTATACTCTGGTACAGCATATTAGGTGTGAGTTATATGACTGTGATCCTTCTCATCTATATTGTTGAAAGCAAAATAACCAGTTTCAGTAAATTGAAACGTGCATCTTGGACGTTATAATTATTTCAAGTTTCTTTAATTTAAATGCACACTTCTTTAATTGTGTGGTTTCACGTCTTGGATACTCTGCTTTAGCTTTCCCAATTGCCATGCTTGGTGCATGGCTAGATCATGGTCAAAGAGGGGTGGGTTTACGGTTTACCATGCAATTTTTATGTAAAAACGAAAGATGAGAGACATGGATAGTCAAAAACTAGTGTTTTTACACAAAAACTAGATAGAAACTTGATGAGAGACTGTTCCCTTGATTTTCTTTAAAACTAGTTTACAAATATACATGTATGTGTGTGAACGTGCGTGTATAATAAATCATAAACTTCTTGATTTTGAAATATTTTAACATTTACATTTAAAATACATGAACAACTAAATTGTCAATGTCTTTTTATATATGGGATTGTATGTTCATTTAATTTAATACTATGTAATATAAATAGATTAACTATTCAAATATCGTCCTTGATGTCCTAAATTATTACAGAATGATTGCAAAAGTAAAGTAGATAATAAAAATGCAAATAGAATCGAGTCATTTTGTCTTAATCATTGACATCTTCTTTGTATTATACTTTTGACTATTATATTTGGTCTTCTATCATTATTTGGCGCTAAACTTTATTGTGTAAATCGAATTAGTAGCAAAAATGTTGGGCATTGACGAATTTAAAACCTACACACAACGAATGGATTGACAGAAATTAGGCAAAACAAACAACGATCAGATCCCAAAATCTCGGAGGGGCTTGTGCCCCTGCAGTCCTGCAGGGGCCCCACCCCCAAAAGGTTGAATTCCCAACCCCAAGGGGCCCCACCCCGACCCGACAGGATGGTCGGGGAGTAAATCACGGTGACTCAGTCGGCAAAGCGGCAGTAGGCCTTTATCCGTGCGCACCAGAGGGTCAGCCTTATTTCAGGTTCTGAAAACCCCCTTTTGACCGCTGCGGGATTCGAACCTTGGTCTACGTCCAATTTTTCCCACCGCTCGACCAACTGAGCTACCCGTGCGAGTAGTCCTGCAGCTTCTTTACTATATATCTATATGCATATATATTATACTATATACATTAGCAAGTCTCTTCTTTTTTGGGGCTGTTACGGTTGATCCATGTTCGGCAACGTCCATAAAAGTCACCAAAATTGAAGAAGTAATGACGCAAATGTTGTTATAATGTGCATTCCTTATTGTATAATGTGCATTCCTTATTGATCTGTCATTGAAGACTTGAATTTCACCAAGGATTTTATAATGGATTAATAACGGACCACATTTGGTATGGCAATAATAATGTTTATATAAGGGATTAGTGGCTCAAGCTCCGTCATATACTATGGTGTGAAATGTTGTATCACAAATTTAATTTGTTACGACAAATTAACAACGGTCCATTTTTTATTAATTTGATTTGATTTCTACTCCGTATTATTTAAGGATAATTAAATAATATCACCTCTCCGAATCTCCGATCACCTCCATAATTTTGAATGATTTTGTGTAATTTTAGTGTTCACCCGTCGCTTTAATATCTATCAAGCATCATTAAATAAATATATTTTATGGATCTTTACTTTTTTATTTTTCAAAAATATTAGTGTATATATAGCACCGCAACATATTCGGCACTTCTTTTTGCCGCCATCCGCCTTACCGAAGACCAAAATTTTAGTGCTTCAACAAGTTGCCCCCTCGCCATGTTGCCGGAGACCTACCCTTTCCCATTATGTGCTCCTCCAAGATCCGACTAGTTCCGCCATTGGCTCCCATCAACTTTACTTAGATCCAACACTTTCTCCATGATGACGTCGCCAATTCTAGGACCAATCGACATAAGGAGATTGGAATATGACAACATGGATGGATAATCCATGGTTACTTGCTTTTCCAAACTCAAAATTTTCAATACGATGACAACAGATGATGAACAGACACCGAACCTCGATTGCTATTATCTTATTATGAACATCATCATGGTTTGTCGACTAAGAGAGTGTTTGGAACTGATTCTGATTTTGCTTCTTTTTTTAAGTGAGAGGCAGAATCAGAATTTTCTGCTGTCTGGAAAAGTGATTCTGTCTGGAGTGTTTGGTATTGATTCTAATGTATGTAATAGAGAATCAATTTAGAGTGTTTGGATAGCTTGCTTTTAAAAACTGCTTTTGATGTAAATTTACTAAAAGGGCATACTTCCTCCGTTCCATAAAAGTTGCAACATTGGAATTTCTGCACTATTCACACACCTCATTTTGACTACGATTTTCTAATAATATATATAATAAAAATATTATGTATAAAATATTAATAAATTTGTATTAATGTAAATTTCCAATATATTAACTTTTTTTAATGTTTACTAATACATAAATAAATATAATTACAGTCAAAGTTGCGCATTGGCAAACGTGAAAGTCAAACTGTTGCAACTTTTATGGAACGGAGGATAGTATATATTAGGCATTCCTTGTAATATAAAATAATATTGTTATTTGCATAGGCTAAGATAGAGATATTAGAAAAAATAAATTTACTTGAATAATATTGTTACCAAAGACACAATGATGGAATAAAGGTATTAATTGATATACATAAAGGAGAATAAAAAATCCACAACTCCATAATAGAAGAGAAGAGCTCATTGTGGAACGGAGAAGAGAAGAGTCGCAGGCTGGAAATCGGCGGAAAAGAAGCTCTTGCACAATGCAGGTGGGAAGAGCGCTGGCTTGTCCTAAGATGCAAAGAAGACAAATACCCTAGTTCAACGTGGTGTGCATAGTATATTGAGGGGGGTTTTCCGGAATAAATTTAGAAGAATCAGAAGTTATTTTGGAGAAGCTACTACTACCCAGATTCTAAAAATCTGATCTTTTAGCCATTTAAAATCACTTTTAAAATCAAATTCAAACACCTTCAAAGCTAATTCTGCTTCAAAGTGCTCCTTGGGATAGCAGAATCATTTTCTAAAAGTTGTTTCAATTTCCAAACACCCCTAATCTAGCTTCTTTTGAGTTCATCACAACTTGTTCTACTCTTTGAGAGTGTGTTCTCTTTGTTGTGACGCTTAGTCTTCCCTAAACGCTAGGCTGAAGCACTAAAAGCTCTTTTTAAGGTTAGAACTCTTTAACTTTGTCAAAAATAAAGATAAAGTAAAATGAAAGTTAACTTGAATACTTCTTATATAAAAAATTATAAACACCAATGAGAGTAAGGGTGTAAGAGACATGAGAAAAATGTTGGTGTAATTAAGAAGCAATAAGGTGTTGTTCATGATGTATAATTACTTGTACGTCTTAACTCACTTGACCTTTTCAACCCTCATATTCCGGGGATTGATTAGGACACAACTCTCTAAATCCTCAAGCAGTACGTATTGCTTGCAAACACCACTCAACCAAGCGAAGTTGGGGTAAATATTAGGGGGGAAACTTGAAAAGGTTAACAAAAATCTATTCTACATATGAGAACATACCTAAAATACCTTTATTAATCAGTAAGAGTCCGTTCGATAATACCCAAATCGACTGTATTGGCTGATTCTGCTGATATTTATGGAGTTCTGATTGAAGTGAATGTATTGACTGATTTTGCTGATTTAAGAGAAAAAATTATAATTAAAATATATTTTATTAATAAAATAAAGAACAAATTACTTGAAAAGTAATTTGTTATTATTACACAATTAAGCGTGTGAAATCAAAAGTTACGTGTTTAATGAAAAAGTTGGCTAATAAGTCCGATAAGCCGAAAAACAAGGTCAGCAAACGGGCTCTAAGTCTAAGCGTCTTAGCATGTTGTTAGTTTATAAAGGAAAAAGATATTTTTTAATATATATCAGTACCTGAAAGCTTGCCATTAAAAGAATATAGACACCATGCTAAGACATACAAATAAACATTCTCTAAGCTAAGTAAAACACCCACATAACTTTATGTTTCAAAATTACAAATTATAACGTTTTTTAGAAATAAACAAAAAAGTTCGAATTATTAATAACCAGTAACATGAAAAGTAGAAACTGTTAATATCTACTTATATTATTTGTGCTATATTAAAATAATAAAAAAAAGTTCTTAGGCTCGAATAGATTCCACTAAATTTCGAATCCAGTTGAAGTTATATTCATTATTTTAAAAAATTACTGTTTTCTTTATATGACACTTGAGAGATTTGCTTACTCAGATAAGTGATTTTATGTGACACTTTGTTTAAACTAAAATAGTACATTATCAAAGTTGTGAGTTCTAACGTAGAACAAACTATGATCCTAAGTTCATATTTAAACAACTTGAATATTTCTTAAACTCTCGCCCTATATATTTAGAGATAATTCCCCAAGTAAGACTAAATAATGTTAAAAGTTCAACAATAGGACTCAAATGTTCCGAAGGATTAAAAAGAGCTGAGTTGACCAAATTAAGAGGAGGAGGAGGAGGAGGAGGAGGAGGAGGAAGAGGAGGAGGAGGACGAGGACGAGGACGAGGACGAGGAAGAGGAAGAGGAAGAGGAAGAGGAAGAGGAAGAGGAAGAAGAAGAAGAAGAAAAAGAAGAAGAAGAGGAAGAGGAAGAGGAAGAAGAGGAAGAAGAGGAAGAGGAAGAGGAAGAGGCAGAGGAAGAGGAGAAAAAAAATCAAAACTTACCAACACAATCATCGTCGTCCGACGGTTGCTAGAGTTGAGAAGAAAGAACGCCGTCCAAAGCTTCATTCCACCGGAGATGGAGGTATTTATCAGATCCGTAAAAAAACTAAAATTATTTGATAGGAGAATATATGATATACGATAGTTGCAGGGAAAAAAGAGAATGACCATTATAGAAGGAGATAAGGGAGATGCAATTAGATGCGTGACAGCTAGAAGAGTAGGTGGCGGATGATTAAAATATTAAGAGGGTAAGATGTGAATAAACTAAAAGAAACTCCTATTTGGGGAATAAAATAACATAAGGTCCTATTTTGGAATTAATCTTATAATTTAGTCCTATTTGGATCAATATCTTATATATTTTCTTTCCTTTGCATATACTATATGAGTAAAAAAAAATACTACCTCCGTTCCCCTAAGTTTGAGACAAAGGGGTGAGATGTGATTTTTAAGAAAAAGTAGAATTGTGTGGTTGATATTGAATTGATAAAGTGTAAATAAAGTAAAAATGAATTCTAACCATTCAAATATTACCAACTATAGTATGAGACAAACTTAATCGAACGGATGAGAAAGATAAAACGGGACAAAGTTGGAAGGACTTAGGGACTGAGGGAGTACAACTATACATTTTTGTATAAAGTACATTGGGCATAATCCCATTCGCGCATAGCACGTTACAAAAACTAGTGTTAGTATAGATGTAGATCTCGAAACTTACGAGAAGGATTACAAATGATTAGAACTCATCTTATATCGATCAACCCCTTCATTACAATATCAACTAATCATAATATGTTAATCTACGACAAGATATTTGATGGAGTATATGAGTCTAGACCCCAGGATCCACATACTCAGAAGAACAAGAGACACAACTGTCACTCAGTGGGTCCTTCGTCGTCCAGATGGCCCTCCATCGGCCAGAAAGACATCAACTCAGAACATGGTCCAGAAGTCAGGAGAACTGGGTGTCCCGGTCGGCCAGGTCTCCGTCGACCGTGGCTCCGTCGGCCAGACCCTCATCGGTCACAGAGAGCTCCCAGAACCGGATTTCATACTTAATCATTTCTACATACTTTGTACTCGGCCCAGTAGTGGCCCAATTGTAAATGGGTCTCCCAAACCCAAGACTTGGGAGCCCAGCCCGCATTTCTTCTATCAATACTCCCCTTGGGAGTAGTTGTAGGAGGTTCACAAATCATTTATTGCAAGTATTTATTGCACTTCTCTCTCTAGCTCTCAATTCTCTCTAGACACTTACTGTATCAATATTCATCATAAATATCATTCATATGACATTTAATTTTTCCTCCATTATATATGAGTATCTATTTGAACCTTGTGTGTTCCGTTGAAAGATATTTATATCCAATAGCAATGAATCTTAGAATCATAAGTTCACCCTAAAGGTACTTCCTTTGTCCATTAAAACTTTGCCAGGTTTGATTAACACGAGAAATAATAAAGTAAATATTGTGTGGTTAAAGTTTGCGTAAAGAAGAGAGAAATAATAAGAACCACAAATTTATTGATCAAATGAGAAAGTTAAAAAGTTTTTGGGATAATAAAAAAAGGAAAGATGACAAAGTTTTAAAGGGCAGACGAACAAAGTATTATACAAGGAATGAAGTTTTAGCCTACGGGTTAAATATACTACTCCCTCCGTCCCAGAATTTACTTTCATAGTACAAATGGCACACGGATTAAGAAAGTGGGAATTGCGTGGTGGAGAGTTGTGCATAGGAGAGAGAAATGTGTAAGAATGTGTAAGAATTGATGTGAACCACAAATTATTTGCCAAAAAGGGAAAAAGAAGTTCTTTTTGGGATATACGAAAAGGGAAAGTTGGAAGTAAATTATGGAACGGAAGGTGTATGTAATAAATTATTAAATGTGGATGATAAGCTAATAAGTTTGACAAACAAATACTACGTATTACTCCATAGTAAGCAATATCTCTCTCTATTTATATGAGGGTTTTTTTATGTTTTTTGGTAAAAAATTTCTCTACGATATCCAAAAGGGTTTCTAGATGTACACATTGAAAAAAAGCTAACAAATTTATATATAAACACTAAAAAAATTTGAGTTTTTACATAAAAACACAGAAAAAAGTTACTCTGATGTCAGAACTCCACAATGGAATGGAAATACTCTTGGAATATAGCAAAAAAATTGTTTTAAATTAGTAAAAACGGATCGGCCTTGAAGTCGAGCTATCGAAAAATAACATCTTCTTTCTCAAAACGCAAAAGCCCTCAGTCTGTAGAAACCCTAGTTCGCCGGTTCAGAATCTGCAACAGCAATCATGTCGACCAACACTCCGAACCTAGAGTGCCGGATGTACGAAGCTAAATACCCGGAAGTTGATCAGGCGGTGATGATACAAGTAAAAAGTATGGCTGACAGCGGCGCTTACGTTTCACTCCTCGAGTACAACAACATTGAAGGAATGATTCTCTTCTCAGAGCTCTCTCGCCGTCGTATTCGGAGCATAAGTAGCTTAATCAAGGTGGGAAGAATCGAACCCGTCATGGTTCTTCGAGTTAACAAGGAGAAGGGTTACATCGATCTCAGCAAGCGGCGTGTCGCCGAGGAGGACATTCAGGCATGTGAAGAGAGGTACAATAAGAGCAAGCTTGTACATTCTATCATGCGCCATGTGGCTGAAACCATGGAAGTCGATCTCGAGGTATATTGAGTCTTCATCTATATTTGCTGATACCTATGTAATGGCTGAATGGGAAGAACTGAGAATGTGATTAGATTATCTTTTTATGCTAGTTAGTTTTTAAGTTTTGTAGAAATTAATTCAGATATTGAGTATGTTTGTTTTCTTCATCTATATAGATAAATTTAATCTTACACCATAAATGCAGAACATTATGCAAGAAAATAAGTTATTAGCAGTTAGCTAGGGATTTATTGTAATTAGTAAACATAATTAGGCTTGATATGATTTTATTAAGTATTTGCAATAAGATTTTAGGGAGTGGTAATAATTAGGTTTTCTTGTCCAAGTTTGCTATTAATTTTACATGGTTAATTCATTTTCAGAAAGTCTCGCAAGGCGCAAAGGCATTATTTTTTAAAAATTGTACATATCTATTATAGAATTGTTTGGAGATCTATACTGTTCTTTACAAAGGTGCAGCATTACTTTGCAGCTTAAAAGATGCAACTTTCACCGATTCTTCGAGTACTTTTGGTGTACAACTTATAATTTCTTATCCCGATACACACTATTTTTTCACCTATTTTGAGTTTTTCTTCAAACAATTTTAATTATTTTATGTAAAAGGTATACTTATAATCTAAACCCTTGTTATTTATTAAATATTACTCCATATTATTTAAATATTGTTAAATGCTACTCTGCAATATAAATAAGACAAAAGAAAAATGAATCAGGGTCCCAAAAATCTGTTTGGGGTGGGTGTGGAGGGTGGGGAGCTAAATAATATGAGGAAGGGTGTATGGCATTGCTAACCAATACAGCCTTCAATGGCTGCCAAAGTGCCAACATTGTTAGCGTTAGCTGATAAGCCAGTGTGTCATATGTTGCATTCTTAACCCCACCTCATAACTAGACACCTCAAAATATAACTTATCATTGAGGTTCTATTCTTATAATGGATTCTTGTACAAACAGTTTTGTAAGAATAACTATTAAGCACTTGTATATGCAGGATCTTTACATCCACGTTGGCTGGCCTCTATATAAAAAATATGGCCATGCTTTTGAGGTGAGGTCTAGTGAATTATTACTTCATGTCATTGATCACTGATTCAGTTGTCTATTTTATACTTATCTAGTTAATGGCAATATCTAGCATCTGTGATTTGTACTTGTTTTTGTTGATTTTTTTCTTTCAGGCATTCAAGCATATTGTTAATGATCCAGATTCAATTCTAAATTCCCTCACCCGCGAAGTTAAAGATGTTGACCCTGATGGGAATGAGGTAAGCTTTATTATTACTATTATTACAGTTGTAATGTTTCAGCATGCATCATTTCTCATTTGATGGAAAATTGGATGAAATATTACCTTAATGCTTTAGGTAATAAAGGTGGCCCCAGCACTCTCGGAGGAAGTTAAAAATGCTTTGGTACAAAATATCAGAAGAAGAATGACTCCACAGCCATTGAAAATTCGGGCTGACATTGAGATGAAATGCTTTCAATTTGATGGTGTGCTTCACATTAAGGTGTGTTCACTTCATCGAAATATGATATCTGTTTGTATCAACCATATAGACTTCAGTTTAATACACTTATAATGAAGCTTATTGAGTGTAATTTAATTTAACAATGTTTTTTATTTTCATTTGAACAATTCAGGACGCAATGCGTAAAGCTGAAGCTGCCGGTAACAAGGATTGCCCTGTCAAAATTAAACTTGTAGCCCCTCCAGCATATGTTCTCAACACTCAGACTCTTGACAAGGTACGGAGTGTTATGCGTAGGTGCCCTTGGGCCTTGTCTATTAGCCTGAATTCACTCAGTACTACTTGTTTGGGATATGCTACCCAATAGATGCTAAGGATAGGTATTTTTATATGTTTTTGGGTTTACCTGGGAAAATAAAAACGTACATGTTTTATATATATTCAGATTGCTTAGTCTATATAATGGAAATAAGGAAGTTTGATCACTTTGAAACTTTAAAAAAGTATCATGTGTGTGTGTGTGTAGTTTGAACGCATCCTTTAATTTCCCTAAAAATTCTTTCCTTCCCTAGCATTTTCCGGCTTCCAAACCAACATATAGAACCCTAAGATAAAAAGGGAAACATTAGAGTGAGCCTTGGAAGTTTGTACCGAACAAGAAATAGATACATTTTTTCTCTGTTTCTTTACAATGTATGTATATTGTTGGGTCCAATTGCCAAATCTGGTATGTTTTTTAACTTGTTTAATGTGTAAACTTTGTGATTTCAATGTATTGGTGAATGTCATATTTCTCTCATTTTGAAATGCCTTTCCTCAACTGTAATTCAAAGTAAGGATTCCTGTGATCTGCCGCTGGTAACATGTTTGGGCAGAATGCCCATGTAGAAACCGGGTAATTGCATTCAATGTTATTTTGAGGATATATTTCAATCCATCATCATTACAAACAAACCTGAAACTGGAATAGTTATTCTTAACAATTATATGCTTACCCACCAAACGATAGCATATGCCTCTATTCCTATTACATTATTTGTGAAGGAATAAAACTCCATCCCCCTCTTTATATCCCCTCTTTTCATGCTAAATGTGCTGCTATTGCCATCTTTATATCTGGTCTTTGCATGATTGATATGTATGGCTTTATTTCCTACCACAGGAGCAAGGCATAAAGGTCCTTGAAACAGCGATTGCAGCATGCCAAGAGGAAATAGAGCGTTTTAAGGGAAAACTCACAGTGAAGGAAGCTCCTAGAGTGGTATGTTTTATTTTGGCACTCTCAATCATATTCTTGTTCTGTCATAATCTTGGAATCTGTTGAAGATGGTTGCTTGGGGCTCTAATGATTGTGTTAAGTAAATCTTTGGTTGTATTAGTTGAATCTGCCGAATTTATGTTATAATCTAAATAGTTTGTTTTAAAAATATATACTTGAATAAAATAATAGAGTAGAGGAATAAGAATAGAAATAATTACATAATTATGACTAAAATAAATGTTGTTTAGAAAAGTGTGACCTCCTAAGTGTAATGACTATAATAGTAACTTAGTCATGATAACTTATGTTTAATTTTTACACTTCAGTTACTATGAGACTATATTATAGCAACAATTAGTCATATTTTTGTAAATAAGTTTCATTTCAGTAATATTTTTGAAAAACCCCTAAATAGAAACATCTAGGTAGAACTATCAAATAAGCCCTCGAACTTTCATAAAAAGTGCAAATAAGCCCTTTTACAGGAGGCTCTGTCCGCCCGTCGCCATTTGGGGCAGTTTCCAGTGGCATTTTTTGATGAAAGTTTTTTAGCATCTTCTTAATTAAGTCTAGTTTACTCATACCAAATTTAAGCTGAAAATTCAATCGGGAAGGCAGGCAAATGAATTTTTGAACATAATTGCGCAGTTAGGCAGCGCAGTATACTTCAGAAAATCATTTGGCTGCCTTCTCAATTAAATTTTTAGCTGAAATTTGGTATGGGTAAACTAGACTTAACGAAGAAGGTTCTCAAAAAATTTCATCAAAAAATTCCATCCGAAACCGCCTCAAATGGCGACAGCTGGACAAAGCCTCCTGTAAAAGGGCTTATTTGCACTTTTTATGAAAGTTCGAGGGCTTATTTGATAGTTCTCACAAACATCTAAAATCCCTTTCAAAAAAGAAACATCTAAAATCAAACAAAATGCTAATGTCTTCACTGTTTTATAGGATTTATATTTTCAGTTGATTCTTCCACCGCAGTAAAATTAGTGCAGTATTTGTTGAAAAATTTGGCTGATGAGGTTCTCTATATGCTGAAACTGAATCATAGTATTGAAATGTTTTATCTAAATTGTAAATCATATCATATTATATTTTATTTACTGTTATGAAAGAGGATGAAGTATGTGTTATCCCTATTTAAATTGCAGGTAAGTGAAAGAGAGGACAAACTGCTTGCTGAAGAGTTGAAAAAACTTGGCCGCGAGAATGATGAGGTCAGCGGTGACGAAGACAGTGATGAGGAGGAGGAAGATACAGGGATGGGAGAAATTGATGTAGAAAACTCTGGGCCTGCTATAACTGACTGAAGGAATGAGTGGGTGGGTTATACAATTTTGTATTCTATGCGGCCTTAATGACATTAATTAAATAATTACCTCATACTTATTTATTAATTCACTTAGCAATGTACCCCCAATTTTCTGGCAAAGTACACCAGCTTCATTTTTAATTAAGTAGCTTGCAAATTTGTGCATCGCTAAACTGTGTATTTATTATTATTAATGTTGTTGTTGATGTCCTTGCTCTAATGCCGTCTATCTTGTTGCGCAATGATAATGATTATGGTGTTGAGCAGTGGAAGATGCAATTCTTGTAGTGACTGTTTGGAGGCTTTATTCGTTATTTAGCACTAAACTTTTTTATTTGGACTGAAATTTGATGATCCGGTGATATGGGACCGACAACAGTCCAACGAAAAACATCCTGATAACAGTCCAAGAAAAAATTTGTTGCTAAGTGTTTGTTGCGAGCAAGCTCTAGCTGCAGCAATTGGTAGTTAAAAATCAGTTATTTGCACCTGTTGTCAAACATCCCCAACAACTATTCTCAAAATATACACCGTTTACCCCTAGTAGGGGTGGACACGGGCCGAACCGGTTCCGGACTCGGCCTTAATGACATTAATTAAATAATTACCTCATACTTATTTCTTAATTCACTTAGCAATGTACCCCCAATTTTCTGGCAAAGTACACCTTCATTTTTAATTAAGTAGCTTGCAAATTTGTGCATCGCTAAACTGTGTATTTATTATTATTAATGTTGTTGTTGTTGATGTCCTTGCTCTAATGCCATCTATCTTGTTGCGCAATGATAATGATTATGGTGTTGACTGTTGAGCAGTGAAAGATGCAATTCTTGTAGTGACTGTTTGGAGTAGGGGTGGAGTCGGTTCGGGCCACCCGGCCCGTGACCCGGCCCGGTACTGTGCGGGCCCGGGACCGGCCCGGGACCAGGTGTGGACCCGAACCGGTGGGAATGGGCGGGGCGGGCACGGTGCCGGATAAATGTGACCCGGCCCGGCCGGGTCGGGCCCGGGCCCGGGTCCGGGCGGTCTGATTTTTAATTTTTTTTTTGAATTGGGCTACTAGCCGTTGGGGGTGGGCTGGGGACAACCCAAACGGCTATATAGCCGTTGGGTGGGGTGCAGGGGGTCCGGGGGGGTTGGGTGGGGTGGGGGGTAAAAAAACCTATAAATACTCCTAATCTTAAACATTTTTTCATATCTCTTCTCCAATTCTTCCTAAATCCTATTCTTAACTCTCTACTCTCTAATTCTCTTATTCTCCATTCTCCAATATATTATATTTATTATTTATAGTTTATATTAATTATCTACTTATATAAACTATAAATAGATATAAATATTATTATATTACTTATATTTGTTATCTAATTATATATTACTTATATATTTATTATATCTATTAATATAGTTGGAATTATATAAATTAAAAAAAAAAAATAACCGGCCCGTGACCCGGGCGGGTGGCCCGGCCCGAACCGGACCCGTCCAACCCTCGGGCCGGTCCCGGGCCCATGTGATACGAACCGGCGGCCCGACCCGGCCCGACCCGGCCCGAATCCATCCCTAGTTTGGAGGCTTTATTCGTTATTTAGCACTAAACTTTTTTATTTGGACTGAAATTTGTTGGTCTGGTGATATGGGACCGACAATAGTTCAAGGAAAAACATCCTGACAACAGTCCAAGAAAAAATTTGCTGCTAAGTGTTTGTTGTGAGCAAGCTCTAGCTGCAGCAATTGGTAGTTAAAAATCAGTTATTTGCACTGATGGAGTATATGGCCCGGGAACACTCGGCCCACAGACTCCTACTACTCCAGTGAAAGCCCAACATGCCCAAATCACAGCGCCCAGAGTACCAAGCAGCCCGCAAAGCTCACCAAGGGTGTCTTCGGCCCCCCGGCCGAAGGCTCTAAACTCTCACAGAACGGGTTTTCCAAGCAAACTAAGAAACTGGGAGAAAAACGGCAGAAAACAGTAGCCCTCGACATCTGGAGCCCTCGGCACTCTGGGGTCCTCGGCACCAAGAGCCCTCGGCTAGTCCTCTGCAGCCGAGGGCACCTCTCCCGACATGATGTCCGCCTCACATGCGTACAGATCATCGTACCCTGTACAACGTCCCATCCAACAGCCGCATTAAATGCGGCCACATGCGTTTGCTAGCGCCAACCAGATGAGGTGACCTCTCGGCCAATGAATGCTTGAAGCGTGTCCCTGTCCGGCTTTTATTGCTACTATAAATAGCACCCCCTTTTCCCCGTTGTAGACCACGACATTCATACTGAATACACTCTCTCTCTTACTTACTTGTGCTCTGACTTCTCTCTAAGTTATTCTCAACAATAACCCCTCGGATAAGCTACCCCCCGGGTACACTATCCATCATTTGGTGCTTTCATTGAGAGGTCGAACAATCGAGTAAGAAACCCTCCCCCTTCGCCAAACACTAGCCCTCTACCAAAATGGTGAGAACAACACGTGCCAACTCCAAAAACGTAGAAGACAAGAACCTGGCCCTCGGCGACGTCAACGCCCCCGAAGCCTCTCACAGGGCTCCCGAGGGCGGTGTCATCGCTGGGCTGGAACAGGCGGCTGTCGACCTACGCCTTCAGATCCAACAGAATGCCCCCGATGCCCGCCTCGGCATCGAGGCCAAGAAGGAAAACCGGAGCGATGACCAAGTCAGCCCTCCGGTTCTCACCATCGACGTTCATTCGGCGCTCTCCGCCTTCATCCAGACGCTCACTCAGAACCCAGGTGCCTTCGGCACCCTGGCTCCGGTTCAACCCCAGGTTGGGGAGAACATCATACTTCCCCCACTGCCACACCCCTTCGGAAACCCCACCCTTCGGGTTAGGAACGACGAAGGGGTAGTGGCCCAAGATACGTCCTCCCAGGAAGTTCAGTCCCGGGACCGCCACAATGACAACAGAGAAAGGCCCCGCACTTCCGCCCTCAACCGGCTCGGAGGAGGGCCAGACCGCCGAGGGGTCCAAGACCGCCTCGGAGGGAAAGCACTCCAAAGGCCCCAGGAAAGCGGAGGGTCTGTCTCGAGGGCAGACGAGAAGCGTCCCCCTCGGGACAAAGGCAAGGCACCCCTTCATGCCGATGATGCTCGCCACCAAATCAACCAGGCCCATTCGGCCCGGGTTCGTTCGCAGGGGGCGGAGACCCTCCCGAAGGATCCCCGGGACGAAATTATTGCGGCCCTCCAACACCGGCTTGATGAAATGGAGGCCCACAAAGCTCACGCCACCACCTCCACCCCTCATTCAGACCTCAAATACGAGGCCATGATGGCCAAAATGGAGGAATTACAGAAGAAGGTGGCCGAGGGCTCCGGGGAACCCGTCATCCAGCTCCGGACCCGGACGCCATTTACCCCAAGGGTATTGACGGCCTGGATCCCAGAAAAATACCGAGGGCAACACATACAGCCCTACAACGGGAAGACGGACCCCCAGGAACACTACAGCAAATACGAGAACAGCATGATGATGGTAGGGGCGTCAGACGAATATTTGTGTCGTTGGTTCCTCTCCACCTTAGAGGGGCCGACATACGAATGGTTCAACCGGCTGCCCGAGGGCTGCATTGATTCGTGGCAAGAACTCGCCCAGCGATTCTTGACGCAATTTGCCGGGAGACGTCGCACGAGAAAGCACTTCTCCCACCTCCTAACCATATGTCAGAGGAGGGATGAGACCCTCCGGGACTTCCTGGAGCGCTGGAGGACGGAAGCCGACAAAGTCGACGGTGCTGATGACGGGACCCTCCTGGCCCTCCTACAAACCGTCCTCCGCACCGGCGACTTTTCAAGGAGCCTCATCATTGAACCCCCCCGCGACTACATAAGGGACCTGCAGCGGGGGGACCGACACACTGAGGCCGAGGAGGTGGAAAAATACCACCAGCATCCGGATCAGCAGCCCCCGAGGGCTGACAACAAGAATAACCGAGGGCCGGGGGCTCCTCCAAATCACCCCAAGTCTTCGGGACCCTCTGATGATCGCCCTCGGCAAGGCCAAGCCAAGCCCGGGGGAGGTTATAAGAACAACCCTAAGACTTGGGCACAGCCCATTCTCCTGGACCGCCCCCGGACACCATTGACGCACCCCGTCAACATCATCCTTGATTTTGCCGAGGAGAGGGGCCTCGTTGAGCGCGATTCTCGTGCGCCCCCGGAGGTACATGCTATCAACCCTCAGTTTCCCTACTGTCATTTCCATCGGCATCAGGGGCACAGGACCGATGATTGCCACCAGCTAAAAACGGCCATCGAGAGATTGATACAAGCGGGGCACCTGTCCCAATTTGTTCAGAGCCCTCGGCAGGAGGGACCTTCTCATCAGGGACCTCCCCGAGGGCATCACACGAAGGTGAACGCTTGGGTGAACCCGAACACCATCCCCCTCGGCAAGAAGAGGGAGATCGGAAACTTAGAGGAGGAAGAGGAGGAGTACCCCCACTACCAGGAGAAAAAACGCCACATCCTCATGATCACCGGCGGCAATACATGGGGCGATTCCACCAGCCAGCGGAAGAAGTGGACTCAATCGCTTTACGTGGGGGAAGTCACTCAGATGCCCCCGGTAAAGCGACTGAGGGAGGAACCCATCACCTTCACCAACGCAGATCTCCCTCCTACTTCTTCTCCTCACATGGATGCCTTGGTGATTCGGACTGAAATAAACGACACCATCATTCACTGAACTTACATTGACACGGGCAGCTCCGTCAATGTAATGTACCTCAGCACCTTCAGAGAGCTGCATCTGGAGAGGGGGTCCCTTCGGCCCATTAAGACCCCTCTTGCCGGCTTCACCGACGATACTATTGATTCCGAGGGGGTAATAACCCTCCCGGTGATCTTCGGCGACGGGTTCCATAGAGCCCAGCTCGAAGTGGAGTTCGTCGTCGTCAACATCGACTGCGCCCACAACATCATCCTCGGCCGGCCAGCCCTCGAGGACCTCGAGGCCATCATCTCCATGAGGCACCTCTGCCTCAAGTTTCCCGCCGAGGGGGGCATTGGCTACTCCCGGGGGAATCAGAAAATCGCCCGCGCCTGCTATCTTCAAGTCACCAAGAAGGTAAGTAAGACGGAATTCCGTATTGACACCATCACCGGAACCATCGACCAAGAAGAAAAGAGGCCGAGGGCTGAACCAGCCGAGGACGTAGAAGACCTTACACTCGATCCGGCCAAGCCGGAGAGAGTCGTGAAGATTGGAGCCCAGCTCCCTGAAGATCTGAAGACCGGTATCACCGACGCCCTCCGCGCCTACTCCACTGTCTTTGCATGGGGGCCGGAGGACATG